CACCACACCACACCCCACTCCATCTCGTCGGTTGCGGCCGTGGCGTCACCAGGCCACCAGCAGCCTAATGCCACCAATAGGAGGTCGTCACCGGCCTGGACATCGTCTCCTGCGGCTAGCCAAAGACACCACGACAGAAAGGGAAGTCCGACAATGGAGGTGTACATTGGGCCATTGTTCTCAATGTCCTCCTAATCCGAGCGTGCTGGCTACTGCAATTCCCCACCAGGTAGGCCATGGCTGCCAGTGATGCTGTGTTTAAGTGTTTCAGGCATTTTTCAGACATGTTGCAAGTCTATGTTTCAAGTGTTTTAGTTGTTTCAGATGTATGTTTCAAGTGTTTCGTATAGATATTGCAAAAATAGATCGGGATGTTGCATATGTTGCAGTGGCTGCACACGTATGTTGCAAGGGTCTGTTCCCAATGTTTCATCTGTTTTTTCAAACATATGTTTCAAGTGTGCTTATCTGGATGTTATATATGTTTCACACATATGTTGTAAGTGTTTTATCTGTATGTTGCGTATGTTTGCAATGATTTTCAAGTGTTTTTAGGCGTTTTTGCAAGTGTTTTAGACATATGTTGCAAGTGTTTCATCTGTTTCTAACGTATGTTGCATGTGTTTTATCTAGATGTTGTAAAAATAGATCGAGATGTTGCACATGTTGCAAGTAGGCGAGGGAAGCAGGCGAGGGCGGTCCCCACGGAGCGGCGCAAGCGAGCAGCGCAGCAGGCCAGCAGCCGCGGGCGTCTGTCCGAATGTCCGGGCGCTAGCAGTTTGGTCGATTTAGGGCATGGCCCTGTGCTGAACCATCCAAATTTGTGTCCGAGCCTAAACACAGCGCGTTTGGTTTGGCACACAGAGTCAACTCATCCATCACCAGATGATTCCCTACAGCAGTATGAACACTGCTCACAGCGTTGTCATTTTTATGAACACGGCCTCCCTAATGATCCATCACAATCCAACACAGTGTTCCCTCATAAATGTACTGGGAGATGGTAATGGGCCACATCCCTAATGATCTATCAATTTTTTGGACTCTTTGTCTTTGGTTCTGCTTCAAAGAATGTGATTCCTAAAAAAAAAGATCTTAGGCCCTTTAGGATGCCGTGTTCAAGCACAGGCAGACGACCAATTCACCTCGTAATGACAAGGTTTGCTCAAAAGAAACTCATAATGACAAGGTATATCTTTTTTTTTTTACAAAATGAGGTTGTATGCATTATATTACCGCTGGGAGTAGGGTGTTGAGACCCTGAAGGGACTTCTTCAAACTCAACATAGATTTATCTGTTAAAAAGGCCACTAGATACCTAGCTGCGGGATTAGACGGGAAATTAACACAGATGCATGTGTGATGGATTCGTCAAGAAATTAAGCACAGATCCAACTGATACTTGATCAAAGCATCGTTCGGTAAGTTCCTACCTAAAAACAGCGATGACCATTTGAGAAATAGATCGATTGCTAACCTGGTAGACGGAGGGCACGTGCGAAGGCGGCTAGCTAGCTGCTGCTATCCAAGAAGGAAACGTTGGCTCGCGTTCGTCGTTGAAGCAGCTCGCGAAGCCAGTGGAAGGAAAGAAGTATTTGGTCTCCTTAGCTATCTGAAGATGAACAGGCCCGAGTGTTTTATAAGGTACACCTCACTCGAGAAGAAACCGTATTAAAGAGGGCGGTGCAAGTTGACCCAGGCATCCATTGACTTCATAAAAGCAGGTATAGGAGAAATGGTATAGGCACATTATTATAAACTAGATAGTTTAGGCCAGTCTTAGCAGGGTTTCATGTTCTAGTTTCTAATACACCTATATTTTGCAAATAATGCAGAAGAGCTTCGTTCCCATGAAACCTTTATCATGATCTCTCTTCATGAGAATAGTGTCATGTTAGCGTATTTAATACCCACGAAACTCTATGAAACTCCCATTGAGAATGGCATGGACATTAAATAAGCTAATGTGACGTAGTTTAAATGAAGAGAGATAAAAATAGTTTCATGGGAACCCTTGCAGGCTTATTAGCATCTGAAAATGACCATCATTTTCGTCCCTGCTTATTTGACAACAATATCCCGTGTGATACGTGTCACCACCGGCGGCGGCCGTTCAGATTGCACGAACTGCTCGTCCGCAGAGTGCATATAAGGTTTGCAGGGATGACAAAGTGAGGCGAAAAACCCAGAGCACTGTTCAGAGTAGCAGCAGTGGAGGTGATGACCAGCTGTGCCAGAAAATTTGGAAATTAAACTGTCCAAACAAAGTCAAACACTTCATGTGGCGAGTTGCACACAATAGCCATCCGCTGAGAGCAAACTTGATCCGAGAGGCATGCGAATTGATCCTAGGTGCCCGGTCTGTGGACGGTTTGATGAAGATGGAGGGAATCTTTTTTTCAAATGCAAGACAGTCAGACAAGTCTGGGGTCAACTACAGCTGGAAAATGAGAGAGTTTTGCTGGCGTCAATGGAGTCGGCAAGGAGTGCTGTGAGTTTCATCTCCAAGGTCCAAGCACAAACTGAGAAGAGACTTACAATGGTCTTCCTTCTCTGGGCCTGGTGGTCAGAGAGGGAGGGAACCGTCGTTTGGCTTCCGGTATTGCTCAGTTCATTAGACTGTGTGGCTGAATCACTGAACAAGCAGGCAGCGGCATCTGCGGCTGTTACAAGGCGCAAGGAACGTTGGGCCAAACCTCCTGTTGGCAAACTGAAGCTGAACTGCGACGCATCCTTTATCCCGGGTGCGGCCACGGGAAGCTGGGGATTTGTCACAACGGACAGCGATGGAGACGTTGTCTCAGCAGGTAGAGGAAAGGTGGAGCACCTACTTGGGGCCTTCCAAGCTGAACTTATATCATGTCTGCATGGAGTTCAGGAAGCCATCAGGTTGGGGATCGTTGACATGGTGCTGGAAACGGATGCTAGTGCTGTTGGTGGGCTGCTCGCCGAACTTAAATTTATGGTGCATGTGAACTTCAATAGTTTCAAGTGCCTAGAGACTGTAATAGGGTGGCACATGCCACTGCCGCTAGTGGGTACGAGTGTGTTGAGGGATTTGGGGAAATTCTAAACTCTCTCCCTGAACACATCAATGTAATTGTTGCTGACGAGTTGTCAGCCCATGAGTAATATATCTACCCAGTTTCAAAAAAAAAAGAGTGCATACGTACCAGTGAACCAAAAAATATTTTACCAGCAATAAAAAGAAGGGCAAATCAATTGAATGCAGGAACTGTACTATTCTGTGGCCGATCCAGCGTTGGCAGCTACGTACTGCCTTCCAAGGCGTAAAAGTACCGCCTGCGGCGCTGCCAAACATTTTATTGCAGCCCAAAAGTATATACAGTACACGAGAACCGCACGGACGACATGGGCTGCGTAGGTTCAGACTTTTTTTATATACATATCTTTAGCTAAGCCCATGTGTAGTTACAGGAATTTGCATTTTGGGACTACTGTAACATGTTCGTTTTTATTTGGTAAATAGTATTCAAATATGGACTAATTAGGCTCAAAACGTTCGTCTTGTAATTTCCCACCAAACTGTGCAATTAGTTTATCTTTTCGTCTACATTTAATGCTCCATGTATAGATCACAAATATTCGATATGACAGATACCGTAGCAACTTTTTGAAAGTTGGGGTGAAACTAAACACGCCGTCAGACTTAAGACACCGTTAACAGTTGCGCAGAGCGGAAGGAACTCAGAACTGTGTTTACCATGCACGTCGACTCGAGACCGTATACACTTCAGTGTAAATTAACTGCAGAGAAAAACAAGATTCCCTCCCAATCAGTTAAAGCAACGGCCTACAGGACTGAGGGCAGTCCCAACGGTGTATTGATGATGATTTCTATCCTCATTAAATGACTTGCCACGTAGGTAAAACACTGACATGACAACGTAATTAATAAAGAAAGAGAGCAAAAATCATAGATATGGTTTCCTCATGAAAAAATCATGTCTACTCTTGACCCAATGTAACAAGAAACTATAAAATCGTCATTGGAAAAAAACCACCAATTTCTAGAAAGCTCGTGTCGCACTCCTATTGAAGAAAGAAGATAGAGTTGGGAGAGAGAAAAAATATTTGTTACTCGTAGAAACTATAGGTTAGAAAACAATACCTTTTTTAATACGGTATCCTATATTATAAAAACTACTAGTTTCTTTTATTGGGACTGACTAAGACAACATCCGTTCCATGGTGGTACTTCGATCTAGTCAGTGTGCCAATCATACAGCACAGTAAAAGCTGCAAAGAGAATTCTCCACAAGGCAGGACAGAGGATATCAGTATCAGTAGCTTCGTAGGGAGAGACAGGTGGTAAATTACAGAGGATAAGATGCATGTCATCCAACATGGAAAAAGGCGAGGGACAACTTCATTTTCGTACCACAAAGCACAATAGGAGCTGATAGATGGTAGCAGGTGCAGGAGGCTCGAATTCTTTCAGAGTATCTCTCTCAAAGATAGCTGGAGCAAGCAATAAGTGACGGGCACCCAGCTCAGACTGTTTTTAGTGGCCAATCCTGTGTAACTCTGGCTCTCCATTCCACAATATGTCAACGATGATGACCGTATAAATAGACAAGAGGAAACACTAAATCTAAGAGCTAATAAGGAATTACCACACATACGCCTATTATAACATGCTATAGCTACTTAACCTTTTTTCACAGCATTAAAGGGGTAAAGAGTGGACAAACAATGTGACACATGGCGGAACTGCAACTCCCAGTAAAATCGACAAATGTTATAAAACCGAGGGAGTAACGCACGAGGAGATAGCTAAACTGACTGTTACAGACTTACATGTACCAGCCGGGATGCTTGCTATCGCTTATGGCGCCCTTTCATGGCAGCATTAATGCAAAGGCCCAAATGCTATTGGGCCAAGGGGAGGTTATGGCACCATAAATGTGGATGCTCCACACGCATTGCCAGCAAGGGCAGATGCATCATCACACTGAACTCTATGCTTTCTGGTTGCTCTATTGTGAGGGTTTCCAGTCATATTGAATGTTACTGAAGCTGTTTGCTGATCTAAATCCACCAAACAGCTGGTTTCCTATGTCATGCTGCTGCTGATGCTGGTGTAACTGACCCAATTGCGATAGGTCATGTCCACCCTGATTCATTCCCATCCTTGCACCCATTGCCATCGCATTGTTTGTCAATGCCGTTCTCATCCCATGACCAAACCCACTCATGGCGCCAAATCCCATTCCTCCCATCCCTGAGTTATTCGTGACAGCATTGCCAACTAAGCAATTAACCCCATTGACACCATGGGTTAGTCCATTTGGTGTCTTCATATCATTCCCCGAGTGGCCAACACCATTCATCTGTGATGACATCAGATCTTGCAAGATCTTCTGAACCGAGCTTATGAGTCACTTAGCTCAGCCTCCTGAGGTCGAGTAGCAGGTGGCTGCATCGGAGGTATGCTTGATGATGTAGTTGGGGATCTTAGTTGATTTGTATTTTGAGGAGCAGGCATCATGCTGTTATTGGATGTTGTCGGTGCTGGGGAAGGGAAAGAGGTAGATGGATTTGACTGTAGTGAGCTTGTAGAGTTCACCTTCGGAATAGCCACATTGCCTCCATTATATGGGCCACCATTAGTGCTGCTCATTGGATGATCTTGTCTAGAATTCATTGAATTTTGCAAGAGCCCAACAACTGACGGTGATGGTGCAGATGTAGAAGGTGCACAACTGAGAGAATTATTTGATGTCACATCACCATTGGCAGAGGCAGAAGGCTGCACAGCAGCCATAGGAGCAGAATTTTGACCACTCTGGTTTGAACTCTGGGGAATGGCCTGCTGCTCCTCAGTTTGCTGCTGCTGTGGTTGAAGGGTGCTGACCCCTGAAGGAGTCCTCCGAGGAAAATTATGCAGGCTATCTGAATAAACAGAAACAGTGTTAAAAAAATAAAAATAAAACAGGAAAGCATACCATACAGCTAGAAACTACTACTTCCGTCCTAAATGATAGGTCATTTTAGACAACTTTTGCTATGCACCTAGATATATGCTAAGCAAAGGCCATAATGTGGCAAGTTACTGGTTCAGATGGGGTCAGGGAAGTTTGAAATCACTGACATTGAATCCGAGTTGTAAATTGTACGTGGTGACCAGACCAATAAAATGCACTTTGATTTTGCTAATTGACAAGTTTTGGTGATTAAGGACATAATACACAGGTTGCTGATACAACCACATTGTTTCGTCAACTCGCCTAATGTTAGATTATCAGATTATATGCCAAAATATGGATCAACTAGGAGAACCTTGCAACAACTTTTGGATACAGGCATGTGGATCCAGGTTGTTGCAAAAGGAATCTTGCAAGGAACGCAGCTACAAACCAAACTGGCACCTAACATGGTCAAACCCTCCTAATTTGAGTTTCAGCAATTCATTACTATCCAAAGCAGCACCAATGACGATAAAAAAAACACAGCACCAAAAAATTTAATAGAAGTACTGTGAAAGATGAGAATAATGAGATTGTCCTCACAAAAAAAAAATCAAAATATCATACCAATGGGTCCAGATCCAGTCTGCCTGCTGTGATCAATCAAATCCTTCATACAATTTACGACCTCAGCAATCTGGAAGAACCAGCATTAAGATGACAAGAATAAAAGTCAGCATCCTAAAATGAGCTCAATAAGATCAAATAAGTTAACAGGCATTAAAATAGAAGAAAACGGAAATCATCATATGCAACAACAATATATCAGAATCATCATATGGACCAAATTAGAAATTTTGCATACATCGCAATATTAACTTCAATTGGATAATCTAAGAACAAGCACAAATAAAAACTGTTCTAGATAAGATTACCTGAAGGCAGCGAACATATCGTTTTGTGTACCCTAAATCATTTACTAAAGGAACCTCCAGTGCTTTGGCCAATTGTCGGGCACATGCAACAAACCTAAAGCACAAGATTAGGTTAAGAGAATTTGTACTAACTCGAAAAGTTCAAAAACAGTGATGACTTGGTGCAAGCAAAAATTCAGCAAGAAATGTATGCAGTTCATGAGCTACACTAAGAAGCACGGATACCTCTACCCAGATAAGACACAAGTTATGATTGTTGAAGCAAAAGATAAATGTGCCCAAATCAAATCATAATCAATTCAAAGCAGGATATCCATAATGCATATAAGCCAAATATTGTAACAAATGTTTATCAGCTACACTAAGAAGCACGGATACTTCTTTTCTGTTGCATGTAATTACTAGTACCTCCGTCCCAAATAAAAAACTTGATATTCTATGTTTGTCATAAGTACTATCTTAAGTTTAACCAAGTTTATAGAGAAGATTGTCAGCATTTATGACACCAAATAGTCATTCTATGCCAACAGACTAATAAGGGCTGTGGTAATCATTAATCACTTTCTGGTGCGCGTCAATATGGTACCAACTTAACCATGGAAGTCGACAATCATAAGAGTTATCGATGACACTGGTGAGCCCTTTGATCTTGGGTTGGGTTGAGACTCTCAAGAGTGCCTCGTCCTTTCTGAAGTACACGGTATATTACCCTAATGAAGAGTGAGACTATTCTTGGAGATGCTCTTACAGCATAAAGTGGTGTGATGCCCAATTGAAAGCCAATGCCCCATTAATGCTTGGAAGGGTTGCACACTTTCAGCACACATGCATTTACATACCTGGGCATTGGGTGGGTTGCTGACAGACACCTAGGTATTGATTTCTAAATTCTGGACAGCTACCCTTCATATCACAGTATCTCTAGAGCTACTTGACATTTCAAATGCTTTGCTAGTACCATAATAGTCTAGAACCACTACGAATGTTCCGTGCTAACTCCAGAAACAAAGATATTAGTATGATAATACCTGGGAATTGGGCTATCAAAGTTTTCATAACAATGATAATACTATTCTGTTCCAGAAGCTGGTTTAATGTTGACATACGTAAATTTGATCTTACACATCAAAATTGACTATATTATAATACTCAAAGATGAACTTATAATTCTGGGTGCGGGAATAACAACCACCAACACCCACCACAATGACAAATTGCCTCACTAGCCCATTTGCTTCATGTCCTTGTGTTCCAATGAGAAGGTAGAAGTTGAGGGTCTGAACACCCATAACCTCTATCACTAATCTATCCAACAATCAGGCTGAAAACAATCTGAATCAATTGTTGTGTAAGCTAATGCATCTGGAAGTCTAGAAGTATGTCCACCCTTAAATCAACTTCTTCACCAGGGTAGATACTAAGTTTCAGAACCAAGATATGGATGTTCAAAATGGTGGAAAACAATTTGATCGTAGCAAAGAAGCGATGATGGAATGGAAGCGATGATGGAATGGAGTATGTAGCACGGCAAGGGTCAATCTACTTACGAGTTGCAATTATTCTGCATGTCCTGAGCAGACAAACTCGTTGAGTTTTGTGCGGCAGCCTGGTACTTTTGTACAACCGCGCCAAGGTTACTAACCTACATATAAAGATCAGGACACCAAAGTCTGTGAAAACCCTTGTTACCAAAATACAAAATTATGAATAAACTATGACCTGAGCTGTCTATATTCTTGAAATACATCTTACCTGTGGTATTATAGATCTCCGTGGAATAAGTTCTTCATGACGCCTAGCACAAAACTCCCAAGATGCTATCTTTAATAAAAAGAAGATAGGAAAGAATGTGATTTAGCTTCAAAGGTACTAATTTGAAATAATATTAAAAAAAACTAGAAAGCTGAACCACAATACCTTAAGGTCTGGATTAAAAACTATCCTTAGATGCCCCTCTCGCACAACACGCAATTGTTCAAAGACACTTTCTTGGATTGCTTTCGTGTAGTCCAAAATAATCTGGCCTGACGTATTCTGGGACTCACGAGGCATGTCGATGTACAAAAGTTCTTCCAGTGTACCACTGGCGTATTTAATTTGGCATAATCGCGGTAGTACCTCAACCGTTGTTTCTGTCAAAAGCAATACAGGATCAAAATAAAGCATGAGAGAATTAAGAGACGGCTTTGCTGAAGTTTATGAAGCTTACCAAAACCACGGCCAGGTTTCCGATTACAAATCTCACAGTGCCATACATCCTGAAAGATAAGAACTGTATGAAAAAATCTAAAATAATTTCAAAGGCAAAGCTTTCAGATGCTAGACCATTCCCAAGTTCAATAATGAAGATTCAATATTAAAAAAAAAATCCATGGGAACAGGCACACTAGACCTGAGGGAAAACTCCAGTAGTTTGACGACCACTTCCATAAAGCGAGACACACCACCTCTTTTTAGCATTTGGAGCGAAATACTCATTGACAAAGTTTCTCCAGTACTCAATATTGTTATCCTGAATCAGAACAACAGGTGAGATATACTATGTTGTTAGTACCTGGCTTTCGCTTGGAACACTAAATTACTCCTTCAAACAAGCCACAAAAAAAACTTACTTGCGGTCTGTTTTGTTGATGATACATGTAATGAGTCAATCTCTTTGCACAGGTTCCTGGCTCATAAGGAGGCGACTTTCCTGGAGTTCTCATGTTTAGACTCTGTTGACGAAGTAGCTGCTGCTGTTGCTGCTGTTGTTGATGCTGCTGTTGCTGTTGCTGCAACTGGTTTCTCTGCAACGGCAAGTTCTTAAGAATCTGTTGTTGTTGCTGCTGCTGCTGCTGATGCTGCTGTTGCATATGCAGGATCCGTTGCTGCTGCAAGAGGGTCAGTTGAGCAGCTGCAGCAGCTTGAGGGTTTGCAATTGTGTTTGGTCCACCCATTGATACAAGGTCTGGACAATTTCGAATCTGCTTTGTCAGCTGCAACAAATGACGTTGTTGTTGCTGCTGCTGCTGTTGCTGCTGCTGCAAGAATGCTGATGAATCTGAAGTCTGTTGCTCCATCTTGACTGAACTTAAACTCCTCATCATCTGGGCTTGCAGCTGTTGTGGCTCAAGTTTCACACTAGCACTTCGCATCATCTGGGCAGGACCATTCTGGTCAGGTTGCCCCATCTGCTGCTCTGACTTGATGCTAACCATGCTTCCTCCATTCTCCAACTTCACGGTAGCCTGTGGCTGCTGGAGCTGCTGTGAATGTTGTGGTGGCAACTGTTGCTGGTTGTAAGACATTGGTAGCTGCTGCTGCTGCATATCATGCACTGCATCCATCTGCTGCTGCTGCTGCGAAATCGCCTGCAGATTATCTGACCCCATCTGATTGCCCAAATTGACCTGTGAGGAAGACGGGAACGACAGAGGATCCGACCCTCCCGCGCCAATGAAATCGCCGGCACCATCCAGCCCAGCTCTCTGCTGGAGCGTACTCATCTGCATCCCACCACCCTGCATCGACACTGGACCCGGCATAGGGCCAACGTTCCCGAACGGCGGCCGGTTCAGCAGCGAGGAGACATTCGAGGCGCCTCCAAGCAGACCATTACCACCAAACTGCGTGCGCGGGGAGACAAGGGAGGAGAAGGGCGACTGTGAAGAAAGCGTGCCGCCGCCGCCACCACCACCACCACCACCTCCGCCGCCCATCATCCCTGGCTGGCCACCGCCACTGAGCAGGGAAGAGTTCGTCCGGAGCAGCGACGCCGCCGCGCCGCCCACCGGCTGCCCGGGCCCCATCGGGTTCGGCGGGCCCGACGGCATCATCTTGGTCGTCGTCGTCCACCACTCGCACCAACCACTAGGAGATCGCAAGCGGCCTGTCTGTACTCACCTGGCCATCGTTTCACCCCACCCCCAGCACGCCCGCGAGATCCGCGGGAATCTAGCAGGGACGGGGGAGCATCATCCTCTGCGAACAAAGTAGAGATTGCAAGTTAGCGACGCAACGCAAGTGTGGGATCTACGCCATTACTACCCCACCTCGCAAATCTGCGAAGGGAGAACACGCTTGTCCCGCACCGCTCCCTCCCCGGAATCGAGCGCTGCCAGCTGGGAAGAACAGCAGCACGAAGAAGCAGCGAGACGAGGGCGGAGTTGCCCTCCCCAAATCCACACCCCGCAACAACGAAGAAAAGCAACACCCGCGAAATCCCCGAGACGGCAAAATAAGCGGAATTAAGCGGCAGCCCCCCGGCTCCTCCCACGCCGTCGCCCTCAACAGAAACACCACAAGACAGAACGCCGCCGCCGCCGCCGCAGCAGCAGCAGCAGCAGCAGCTCCAGTGCCAACAAACACGCTCACCTCCGCGGCGCCGTCCGCAGCACGGGCCCGTTCCCCGTCGCACCGGAGCTCGAATCGAGCGGGCGGCGCGGCGCGCGCGCACCTGGCCGAGAGACAGACGAGGTGAGCCGCGGGGCGCCCGCCTTAGCAGCTCCGGCTCCGGCTCCCGGCTAGGGTTTAGGCCGCGGGACGCGCCTCGGCGGCGGCACAGCAACAGGGGCACCAACAGCACCACCGGGCACCACCACCACCACCACCACCCGCAGCCAAAAGAATCCGTTGGCCTGGTTTTGTTATCTCGCGATGGGATTTGGCTTGGTGGGGAGGAAGCGAAGAGGGGGGAGGGGGAGAGAGAAGCCGAAGAAGCGCTAGCAGGCTAGCAGCAGGAGGAGAGAGAGATGAGGGGGGAGAAAACGCAGCGACTTTCTGTCCCTCCCTGCGGACGTCAGAATTCCATTGGATTTGATTAAGAGCGGCGGGCCGCCGACCCGCGCGGCACCCGCCTCCCGCGGCTGACGCGTAGGGCAGGAGGCTGCGCGGCGCCCGCGTGGAGGCGAGACAGTGTGCGTGGGAGAGGGTTCGATTAGGAGGCTGGATTTCTTTTTCCGTTTGCTCGGGTTTTGTTATTATTATAGTTTAATCCTGTGTGCCGGGGTCGCAAAAGGAAGCAGGCCCGGCCCCGACGCTGCTGGTATGGCAATTGGCAAAGGCATGGTGTCCAGCTCCAGCAGGAGTAGTCCTCTGCTCGCTCTCCTTCCGCGACAAGAGGGGAGGAACGGCCTCCGGGTGTACTTGTTGTTCCGAGTAGTGTACTTTTGACGGGGTTTTATGCCGGGCCTTTTACCGCGTGCCAGTACGAAAAATGATCCAGTCTATAGGGCTCCTAAAAATTTCAAACACGTTCAGGTGCCATAACGCTAAATTTTCTTACTTTCCACGTCATTCTGTTCATCTTCTGTCGTTTTTTCGCCGTGTAACTGCCCCGACACATGGGCACAAAATACCCCTCTTTGTTTATTCAACATGTCCTTCCTCTTCCCCAAATGCAGCGCCGCATGCACTCTGACCACCACCCCTATCTCACCGGTTGATTGATTGGTGGGTCCCACTCATTTTTAGATAAGGCATATGATCTGTGCTAGCGCCCAATAGAATTGTGATTCAATAATCTATAGGAAAGAAGACGAATCTAATCTAATATTCAACGCAGCAGCACGAAATCAAGATAACGCAAAAGATCCGACGACTTACTGAGGACTTGCTCGGCGGAGAACCTTCTCGAGACGTCGCGGCACATCATCCGCCGCGATCAGGTCCTTGCGCACGGCGAGACCCCGTGAAACAATGGCTGGCGGGAACTCGAGGGTGCAGCGGTAGCAGCCTGACCCATGAACACGATCCACAGGCGCTCGCCGCGAAGAAGGCAGCCCGCCCCGAGAGGAGCGCATACATCACTACCTCGGGCGCCCCGTGAGTCTTGGGGTGCCCTGACCCCTGCCGCCGCCCTCGCCCGGCATGGCGGCGCCGAGCCGAAGCCATGCGACGGAGACGAAGTCCGTAAACCACACACCGTGGGCGCCGCCGCCCGGGGTCTAGGTCCAGAGCACATTGTCGGGCTTGACGTTGCGGTGGACGACGCGCGCTGGCGACGGTGGCAAAGATGTGAGCGCCTCGGCGAGTTGCTTGACGACGACGGGAAGCGTCGGGCTCGACTGCAGGCGCGCCGTCTGCGGGGCGGACCTAGTCCGGCAGAAAGTCGGGCCCCATGCAAAAGGTCCGGCAGAAGTTAAGCTTCGCCCACGCCAGATAGCGATGGTGGGGGGCCGGTTGTGTTGATCGGGGATGCCCCAGCGCTGTGCCTTTCGAACGTCGTCGATCGACCGCGGCGGCGCTGAAGAGAAGAGAACAAGGAAGGTTTGGGTGGCTGACAAACGGGTCCCACTGTAGGGTAAAATTGTCATTTCATCCGTCTGTTTGACACTGTTAGAGGTCAAAGTGAACGTAATGGCGTAGAAGGCAAGAAAGTTTAGCGTCATGGCACCAGGGCACGTTCGAGAGCGCTTTCGAATTTTTTAATGACCTGTAGACCAGGACCATCTTTTATAATGGTACACAGATAAAAAGCTTTTTTATGCCAGGCCTTGTTTAGATCACTCCAAAATTCCAAGTTTTTTCACTCTCTCTCCATCACATCAATTTTTAGCCGCTTGCATGGAGCATTAAATGTAGGTAAAAAAAATAACTAATTGCACAGTTTAGTTGGAAATCACGAGATGAATCTTTTGAACTTAGTTGGTCTACGATTGGACAATATTTACCAAATAAGACGAAAATGTTACTATTCATCGGGTTGAAATTATCTTCAATCTAAACAAGGCCCCAGTTGTGGTGGACTTCCTGTGGTGTACCACATGTTTGTTTGTTGGACAAGACTTGTAACGAGGGTGTTTTTTTTTACATACTCGAGTTAATCGGCCTGTTCGTTTCGGCTGAAACGATCGTGAATTATTACTGTTGGCTGGTTTGGTACGAGAGAAAAATACTGGCTTATAATCTACGATCACTTACAACCAAGCGAACAGACTCAATATTATTAGGGTGTGTTTTTAGTCATAATTGGCGTCATTTTTTATTTGTTTTACCTAGTTGCGTTTAATCTTTTCTCCGTGGTATGTATATAGAGATGAATGTCCTGTTCGGCTGCACTTATGTGCAGCGCTGCAGTGAACAAGAGAAAAAAAATATTGTAGCGATGAATTGAGATAAAAAAAACAGCTAGCTGCAGCTGCAGCATGAAATTCGAACAGGCTGAAGATCAGATCGGATCTAATACAGACGGATATCATTGATCTGCATTCTATCCATGTCCTGCAATCTTTCTCATATTTCTTTCTCGGATCTAAGAGCCGGATACGGATCATGTTAGATATGGATATCTATCTCACATACATATCATAAATCTGATTTTGAGTATATATATATAGAATGAATGCAAATGGGTTTGTTTCACTACGCCTGGTTTATCTCTACGGAAACCTAAACAGTATGGCAAGTAAAAGATAGAAGGATGGGAGAATTATGTATTTTGCACCGAAACAAATCAGTCTTTCGCATTTGGCACTAAAATTTTGAACTTTTTTATTTGGCACCAAGTTGAAATTTCCTTCCCTAGATAGCATTGCCGTCCATTTGGGCTAATAACGGCATCAAGTGGCTGGTAAAATGACATGAATGCCCTTCTTTATAGCAGAAATACATGATGCCAAATATATTTATTAAAAAACTAAATTTAAATATCTATCCAATGATTGATCAGAGGCGGCCTAACCACTGACTGCAAGAGATCGATCAGAAAATCACATAATTGCAGACACTGCTACACCAAACGGACAGATAAGCACGCTAGCTGACTGGAGCGCACGCAGGACACAAGAGGCCGGCTTGGGTCTGCTCGAGCACGGCACCGAACTGAGCACGCGGACGCACAGGAAAAAGCACGACGAGCACCGATCGGTCGGGCACCTAGGCAAAGGGCAAGCACCGCTCAGGTGAGCGTGCATGGCGCTGGAGCGACGTCATTGGTAGTCTTTGCCGCTTAAAATTCTTTGAGCCGCTCCCAAAGGAAGCACGAGCGAGACGAACGTCGGCCAAAATGTAAAACAGGACGTCCACAATAATCATAGAAATCCGTCCAAAACTCCATGATTCAATCCCAAATTTCTCTCAGATGAAATTCAACTTGCTACAAACCTATCCCCAAGAAATCATCGCTGGGATTGACCCAAACTCCGGAAATTCAGATCGTAGCCAAGAACGAAAAATAGGGAAAAAACGAGCAGATCGTGAGCGGGAGGGAGGAGAAGGAGAAGCGCAGACCTCGCCATGGGAAGAGTCTTGTGGCGGCGACCAATGGTCGGCGGACCGCCGCCTGGGCACCTGTCGCCCCTAGAGCACCCGCCATTTAAGGGGCTCGAGCGAGAGGAGAGAGAAGGCGCCTTGCTGCCCGCTTGGCCATTGAGAGCCGCCTTGTCACGGGAAGACGCCGCTGGCGGCAACCGCCTAACCCTAGGTGCGAATCAAGACGGAAAAGTGTAGGAGGCCGACGCGTTTTGCTTCTGGTGCCTGTTCGTGCGATTCATGAAGGAGGAGGGGCAGTGCTTTCACATTAATAAAAAACTGACACGGTTAAAATAGTCAACTAACATATGAATGGATAAAATGGACGGTAGTGCCATATAGGAAAGAAAATTTTAACTTGGTGCTAAATAAGAAAGTTTAAATTTTTTAGTGCCAAATACGAAAGACTGATTTGTTTCGATGCCAAATACATAGTTCTCCCTAGAAGGATAGGTTGGCTCAATAGAGAATAGATGGCCGGACACGAAAGCAAGATCATGTAGCGTGGCTAAGGTCCAACGTGACAAATAGGCGGATAGATAGGCATGGCGACGAGATA